TTTTAAGTTTGAATTGATTTGAATTGTAGGCGGCAATTGTACTAAAAAATGGAAGATTGACAAGAGATAGCTGGACGCGAGAACAGAGGAGGATTTGCGCGCTGGAAATTGCAAGGCTAGTCAAAACGACGTCGTTTTGGCCAAGAAATATTTTTTTTTTTTGAAATTCTTGCATATTGTACCGGTTAAATTTCGGTGTACCGGCCGGTATACCGAAATTTCGGTCAGTACACTGAAATTTGACCAAAATCACCGAATTTTGATCGAAACGAAATCTTTTCTTACTCCGTTTCGGTCTACTCCTAAAACCAATACGTACCGACCGTACCGGCCGATATGGTACGGTATATACTTCTTTGATTAATACTAAAAAAAAAAAAAGTGGTGGCTGCCAATAAATTGCAAGCTAATTAAAATAAAATAAAACAAAAATAGAAGAAATAGGAGAGAGATGCAACACGAAGGAGAAAGAAGAATTTTATGTTAAGGCAATTAATATGGCGAACCACACATGAGCAAGGGTTACAGTCAATTATAACCTCTTTATTTTATTCTCCTTTTGTACTTACAAATCATTTAAAATCCTCCCTCCATTCTTCAAAATCATACTATTGTCGACCTTGTACTCTATGATTCCATAACATTCTCGTCCCTATTCTCACACCGTCACTAACTTTCATTAACGGTGTTTCTTTGCCTTAAATATGCTATTTTGCAATAAATTGGTTAAAATCTATTTTTGGTCACTTTACTTTAACATAATGTTCCTTTTTAATCTCTCTACTTAAAAAAATTCAGTTTTGATCCCTAAAGTTTAAAATCTAATCCCTTTTTAATCCCTCTCTGTTATTTTTTTCTTGTGTGATACATTATCTTAACAAAAATCCCAAAATAGAAGAATTAAAAAAAAGCTTCTTTTCAAGTAGAGGGACAAAAAATGGACTTTTTAAAGTAAAGAGACCAAAATGAGGCTTTTTTAGCCTTTTTTTTATCTGTCTACTTCAAAATTTCCATCATTTAACGTGTTATATGTGCAAATTTTTTTATCCCTCTATTTTAAAATTTTCATAATCTAACGTATCATATATGTGAAAAATAATGAAGGGATTAGAAAGGGATTGGATTTTAAACTTTAAAAACTTAAAATGGGTTTTTTAAGTAGAGGAACTAAAAAGAAGCTTTTTGTTAA